TCAGTATGAAGAAGCATTAAAGTCATTAAGGCAGGAGGGCAGACCTGCTGTGGAATATGTAAGATTTTTGAAAGTTGGCAACTAGGTTGCACACCTGGCCTGAAAGATTATTGATTAGGGAGTTTAGGTCTGGTTTAGATAAGGCATTGAGGCAAGCTTTTCTTTACAGGGGGGTTCCCCAGAAACTGGGGGAATGGTATAAAATGGTTGTAGAATTGGATGTTCGATTACGGGAATTTTGTCCTATATTCACAGGCCCCAGAAAACAAAAGATGGGAGCATTAACAGCAAGAGGAAAGACGGGAGAAGAGGGTAAAGTTAATGGTAGAGGAAGAGTGTTGATGAGGTGTTTTCGGTGTCAAGGTTTAGGACATTGGGCGATAAGAGTGTTCATCTATAGAAACTGATGATAGAAAGCAAGTAGCTAGGGTTCCTGGCCCCACTAGTAGTAATGTACAAAGTAGTGGTATTGCACGTGGTACGAGAAAAGGGTTGGGTAGCTCTGAAAAATCTCAATGTGTGTCACAAAAGGCGGATACAGATGTAATGTCAAGTGGTCGCGACAACATTGTTAAAATCAAAGGGAAGAAATACACAGTTAGTTTCTTTTATCAAGATTAAGGCACATGTGGTTTCTGGTAACCCTTAATTGACTTTTATGAAGCAGGGTTGAATGACAAGGCTTTTCTGGAAAAGTTTGTTTATAAATAAATACAGTTATGAGACAGAAAATTTTGTTGCATTTTCAGAGAAAGTGATGTTACTATATTAAAAGGAATGGAAGGAAATATAAAGTTGAAATATATGATAAGGCTTTAAGAATTTGTTTATAGGTAAGAGATGAGATATGGGAAGAAGAGATATTTTATTGTAGATTCTAAGAGTAATAAGTAGCTGAAATTATAGCATACCTCTGTGATGGAGGAAATTGCTTCTTTATATATTTCTTTTTTATTCATTTTTCTTTCCTTTTTTGTATTTTCTGTACTTTCTATCATTCTTTTCATTCTTGTGTAATTTTTTAGTTTATATTGTTTTTATCTTTATACTTGTAAGCTTTAATAAATTATACAAAAAATAAATGTAAATATTTCAATTCTTTGAAAGAGCCATAGTGTTTCTTTTCCTTGTCCATAAACCTTACAATTCATTAATGTTTTTTCTAATCCAGATTATTGAAATATTAACTACAGATATTTTTCAGAGAAATATAAAAATTACAACAGTCACCTAGAAAAGTTTATAGACTATTTTATCCTTTTTAAAAATCAAATACTAGGTCAACTGCTTGATAGCTTTCTCAAGACATTCTTCATCGATGCCCTCCCTTTTCTTTTGCTGTATGCGTCATACAGTTTATGAATCACATCACAAGCATATCTCCAGAGAAAAAGCATTTTGTATATTTTAAGCCTTGATATTTGGAAATGATCTTGTTTCTAAGAATATAACTAATTAGAACTTGCAATCCTCTATATCAGTGCTGAATTTTTAGTCTGCATTTTCATTCAACTTATTTTGTGTCAAGTCCTTGGCATTTACAGGTAGCCCTTAACTTATGACCCCAATTGAGCCAAAATTTCTGTTGCTAAGCAAGACAGAAAGTTAAGTGTCACTGTTACTGTTACTGTTGTTAAGTGAATTTTGCCCCATTTTACAAGCTTTCTTGCCACAGTTGTTAGGTCAATCATGCAGTTGTTAAGTTAGTAACATAGTTGTTAAATGCATCTGGCTTCCCCATTGACTTTGCTTGTCAGAAGGTCACTAAAACGTGGTCACATGACCCGGGACAATGCAACTGTCATAAATCTGAGTCAGTTACTACATAAATTTTGATCATGTGACCATGGGGATTCTGCAACAAACATAACTCACTAGGCTCAAGGTTGACTCAACCTTCCATCCATCTGAGGTCGGTAAAATGAGAACCCAGATTGTTAGGCAAGATGCTGACTCTGTAAATTGCTTATAGAGAGCTGTAAAGCACTGAGAAGCAGTGTATCAGTCTAAGTGCACTAAGTTGTACTATTTTCTTCAAAATGGGTGATTCTATTTTGCTTTTTCTTATATAGAGACCCCGTGGTCACTTGTAGCTTAATGTAGCAATAGCTACATTATTTCTATCACTCCCATTTCCCTGTAGAAAATGGGGAAATAAACATGTTTTGCACATGTTCAAAACGAGGTGAAAATGTATCATCAATAGTAATAGTCACTCTCACTAGTCAGGCAACATAATTTGACAGTGACTTGGAACAGATTATTGGTAAGGACTAGTAATAGAGATTGTATATACTCTATCAGCATTGTCTTATACTTTACAAGAAAACTTTATGCTTAAGACTTGTTTGAGTTTTCAGTGATGTTATATAATATAAAGATTAAAGGACTGATGAACAGTATAATGGAACTATAGAAATAAATACTATTTGCATTTCTCTTCTGGTTATACCCAATGATTAAAAAAAGAATTCAGTTAAAATATACCAATCTTGTCCCGAAGAAGGCCTTTTAATACAGAAACTGGGTCTGCCTGATATTTGGTGCCTCTTCATTTATAACATGAGAAAAGTGAGCTGGTGTAGCTGGTTTACAGTTTCTCATTCCAACTTTCTGTGAGACAGGAAGAAAGCAAGACAACTACATGGTTAGGACTACATTAATAGATACCATCAGCTGCTTTAATCTATTCTTGAGATCTGCAAGACATACAGAAGAATTTTTTTTCTATTTTTGATCAGCATCTGTTCTTGGAAACACTGAAGAAAGAGGAGCAAAGAAAAGCAATTGGGATCATTTTTTTTCATGGACAATTATTTTCTTTTTATAATGACATATTAGAAACTTTATATGGGAGTCTAGATATTTGTATTTTAAAATATTTCCTATGGCCATGTGTATTGATTTGTTCAAATTAAATTGCTGCCTGGTAGGATAAATTCAACATTACTAATCCTTATTTTCCTCCAAAGTATATGGAGTTGGCTCTATATATGATAACAGCTCCTAGGAAACTGTACATCCGTGTTCTTCTTCCTGGAAATTATATATAATTCCATCTTTAGAACAATGATATAGTCAGGTACAGGCAATCCTTGACTTACAATCTATCACTTAGCAACTGTTTGAAGTTACAACAGACTTCAAAAAAGGTATTTACAACCCAGATTCGAAGTTTTGATGGTTGCCCCACTCCAGCAATGTCAAATGATTGTATTTTGGGTGCTCACCAAACACCCCAAATTTATGGCCACATTTCACCACAATTTACAATATTTACTTCCAGTTCCCAGCAAAAAACACCCTTTCCAAACAATGAGTTTGCTGAACAACCACAGCATTTGCTTAATGACTGCCGCAAAAAAGTTGTATAATCACGAGAGGTTTCATGATGATCCTTTATCGATCAGCATGACTTACAACCATAATTCCAGGCTCAATCATAGTTGTATATCGGGGATTACCTTTATTACAGTACAGATTTGGATCAATGTCAAAAAATAATGTAACGCAAGTTAATACTGACTTTAATTGAATCTGGGAATCATTTATGAAAGGGCCTGAAAGCAGTTCCTTGGATCAGCCTTAGATTGACATATGACCTATAATGTATGCTTAATGTTTGTTTTCTGAGGTTCTGCAAGCTTCATTCTTAAATTTAAATCTATATTAAAAGACTGAATAAATCATTTGAAGATTCAGCATTCTGATGACACATAGCTCAAATATGCATTTTTCCTCAGATCCAACTGAGGCAGTATTTTTTTATTTGGTTAGTTGTGATATCTCGTCTTGTGTGCAGGAGCTTAAGGTGTTCTATATCCTTTTATTTTTCCTCATGATAACAACTATAGCAACCTAATTCACAAACAGATAGGTTGGGCTATGAGTGACAAGCCTAAAACCAATCACACTGTGGGATGTGAATTAAAATTAATTAAAATTAAAATTTGGAATTCTGCAATGCTACTCCAGTACCTTAACACTACAACACAATGGCTTGATAGGCCCTTGACTGTACTAAGGGACAACAAAGTAAAACTTGAACCAGATAAGATGAAGTGCTATTATTGAACAACCTGTGGAAATGATAGCATTCAACATATTTCCAGTTCAAGTTCATAGCTTTGGGATTGCTTCTAGACCCATTTATATTATTAGAAATGTGTTTTCCATGGCACAAAATGATTGCGGGTGGCACTCACTATGGGTATTTTACAGCTTCATCAATAACCCAGGATAGTATATAATACGTAGTTCCAAAAAATCATTACACTGTGGTTTTATAGATTTTTGCAATACTGACATTTAAGCAATCACTTAATCCATATAACAGTTCCCTGTAGACAGGTTATCTCAGATAAATATTTGTCTTATGTTTCTTATCCAGAAATTCAGTTTAAAGGACTTATTCAGCTACACTTAGAAGGAAATGGAAATAATTGCTGCCATTATTTTTCCACTAACCTGTAATTATTTATTAAACTCATTGTGTAAATGTTTTGACTGCATTGCAGCATATAATAAACAGTCAGAAGCTATTCATAATATTTTTCCAAACTTGATTAATTTGGTTACATAGAATCCAGTAAGCTTCCAGGTATACTTCAGGGTATACCACATTACCACATTCACAGAGGCTTATATGTAGGACCCCTTTCTCCAATTGTTTCTGCCTGGTGTACTAGATCAGGCAAGGTAGGCCCATTTAGTACTATGCAGGCCCGAGAAGCTCATGCACCTTGGAGGTTTTTGGGCCCTGACGTTCCTGGCATTTTGCAAATCCTTCAACCATTGCATGTTCCCTGAGAATGGCCCTATAGGTTAGGTGAGCCTGGGATTAAATTATTCTGTTGGTTTTCAATTTTGTGTTCATCACCTGCAGACACAACTGAAATATGGGCTATAATCTGTACAAATTAATATTACAAAGAAAATGTTACCTTGCTACAATTATTGTGTTAATGTTGTTTTTAATTTTCTATTTGTCTCTGGGCCAGATATTATTTCAGAGGTTTTAACAGAAGCACAATATGAGGCTAGCAGAAATCCTGTAATGGCAAATAACTTCCAAAATCTTGCCAAGAAAGCAGAAGTGACTTGTCCATACAATCTCCAGGAGTCAGTACTGACTTGCAGATACAAAGAAAATTAGGCAGTTTTTTTTTTAATTGAGAAGCTTGTTTCTAGCAAGTTGCTTTGGGATATTAAAAGGGAAGCAAATGTATTTATGATTGCCAACGAGGTACTTTTGAATGCTTTCCAGGCTGCCTTAAATTAATATTTCAAAATATTTTGATTGCAGTGATATTTTGTGGGCATTAGGGTTTTGCTTCTCTGCTTCAGGTAACAAATAACTGCCTTTCCATATAAGATTATAATTTGAATTCAGTTTTCGTTGCTAGCTGGCTGGACTGTAAATCTGCAGATAGGATCGGTGTGAATGTCCATGTTGTTAAATGCCACTTCCTCAGCAGTGGTGCATTGAGTCTTATAGTTAGAGCTATTACTTTACAGACATGGATCACCCTTATCATTAGTGATGAAATGGTTAGCCATAAATGACATTTATTGTAACAGGATTTCAAAACCGTGTGTACTTTGTACCATTGTCATAACTACCCAGTGGAGCGCATGCTTTCCCCAGTTGCTGCTCTCCCGAAGTGTTTGATTTCCAACTTCCCCCAATTCCCCATCTAACGAAATTCCATTCATAGGGCACCAGACTGGAGAAACTAGCATAACATAAAGGAAACCGCGGTGTTAACAAGGTTCTCTGAATCTTGCCTGGCTTGAGGTGTAAGAAAACGTCAGCTTCTGGGTGGAGTTGATTAATTGAATGGCAATGACCGGAGGGGGATTCGACGTTTTCTGGAAAGGTTTTAATAAAAGAGGGAATAGCGCGAGCCTCCCGTGACGTCACCCGATTCGCCCCCACCCGGAGACCAGCCACCCGCCGATAGAATTCGGCAGGAAAACAACCGTTGAAAGAAGAGCAATTGCTTATTATCTCCTTCGCTCTTTAAGGGGGAAGGCGGACTCTCGGCAACCGTTACTTCCCGCATGTGTGACGCACGCCGTGTCTTCATTGGCGCAGCGTTCGAATGGTTTCGGCTGCAATTGGATAAAGCAGGATGGAGAGGCGGGTTTTCGGGAGAGAATGTTGTGGCAAGCTCTGGAAGATTCCTCCGCCCGCCATATAAACTTAGAAAGGAAAGCGCCTCCTCCTCCTAAATTACAGCTTGGGGAGACAAGCGAGAGGGGTAGGTGGCCGGCTACTGAGGGAGTTGCGAAGGGCGATGGGGAAAGATTATTATCGTATCCTGGGCCTGGCCCGCGGGGCTAGCGAAGATGACATTAAGAAGGCATATCGTAAGCAGGCGCTGCGCTACCATCCCGACAAGAATAAAGATCCAGGAGCCGAGGAGCGCTTCAAAGAAATCGCCGAGGCTTACGACGTGTTGAGCGACCCAAAAAAGCGCGAGATTTTCGACAAGTTCGGCGAGGAAGGTGCGTGCCGAGGGAAACAGGCCGGGCCGGGGAGTCGTAGGAGCGGGCGGAGGGGAATTGGGAGTCTGCGATGTATGGGGTGGGAGGGGGGGGTGTCTAGGACACGTTCTCGCTTATCCGAATTTACGGAGCGGGGTGGATCTAATTTGTTTAGAATCGGGACTAGCGAAACGGCCTTACTGGGCTGCTGCCTTTGCTGTATTCTCTTAAGAAGGAAATTGCAATGACCTGGCTCCCAGTGTAAATCGCAGGACGCAAGAGGGGAAAAAAAACCAATTTAACTGGTGGGTAGGCAAGGGAAGCAGAATTAAACCCCCCCCCCCCCCCGTTGAACTGAAGCGAATGAAATTGGAAAGTGAAACTTCAAAGGGAAACGATTATACTCGGGCTGGGGACTCGAATCAAAAAAAAAAAATCAGCTTTGAAATATTTTTATCTTTTAAATTTTGCTTCAGCCAAAAAATGCCCTTCCTTCGACTGTACGTTTCTCTGACATTAAAAATTCTATTCGGCTGTTAACCCTCGGTTGCTAATTAATCTTGCTCCCACCCTGAAAGGATAAACTGGGAACTTCCCAGTTTGTTACTATTATAATTGTCAGATGTAGCTTTTAGGTCTTATTAATAAAGACTTCTTTTCCCAGCGGCTGTGGAAAACGACCGTGTTGGGATTAATTTCCTCAGGAAGGGGAAGGGGAAGGGAGGACAAAATAGTGGAGAACAAGAAAACAAGTTCTTTTACTCTCCATTCTGGAAACTGGCCAGATGAGTTGCCATCTTTGAATTGTTCTGATTGTATTAAGGTCACTCCTCAAAAATCCACCATTACTTTACAGGTTCTTCCTGTCTAGGAAGCTTGCTTTGAGCCAGCTGGATAAATGCTTCACCTAGGAAGCTACAAAATAATGTATTAAAATGCAGAATTTCTCCTTTTTATAATGATTTTATATACGCTAATAAAGATTGCTGTGTGTATAAATTCTGTCAACTTTCTACCTTGTGGCATCTATGTTTTAAAGAACATTCCATCTCTAGCATCTATAAAACAGCATTTAAAACAGACACTCTTAATTACTATAACATTTGTACAGATTTGGGATAGCTTTTCAGTACTGGCTTCCATTATCTTTCTTGCTTCAATTCATAGTAAATAGTCAGCAATTTTCCTCTGAAGGCTTGGTAAAATATGTATTCACTGCATATATTTGGGTTGCATGACAAGCTGTCTAAGATAGGTGGAGCCTTTCCTGCAAAGTCTTCTAGTAGTAGCTAGAATATTCTAGCATATTCTTATGCTAGTGTCCTTTCCAATATTATTTTTATTCGTGCTAAATGGTTTTTTTCCATAATTCTTAAAAGATCCCTTTTGCTTTATACAGCTGAGGTAGAAATTAATAATTTGTGTTGTATCTATAATAACTTTCCATTCAGGAGAGTATTGTAGACTGAAACACTGAAAAAGGTGTTTTGCTGATTTTATACAGTTGAATCGTGAACATGCTGGAAAAAGGAATTGTGAGAGAAAAATGGAGGTGAAAATTTGAGGCATTTCTAAGATTAGCCCTATTTGATATTCTCAATATAATACTAAAAAGAGACATAATGTAGCATGAGACATTGAACATCAGTATTACTTGATGAAGTGCATTTTTATGTTTTCTATATTTCAGGATTAAAAGGTGGTGGTCCCAGTTGTAGTGGAGGAGGTCCTAATGGTACTTCATTCACTTACACCTTCCATGGAGATCCTCATGCCATGTTTGCGGAGTTCTTCGGTGGACGGAATCCTTTTGATACCTTTTTTGTTCAGAGGAACGGAGATGAGGACATGGACGTTGATGATCCTTTTTCAACTTTTCAAAACTTTGGCAATATTGGTTTTACTCGTAGTCGTGGAGGACATGAAAACATCCGCAAGAAACAAGATCCTCCAATCATCCATGAGTTGAGGGTGTCGTTGGAGGAAATTTACACAGGTTGCACCAAGAAAATGAAAATTTCACACAAGCGGCTCAATCCAGATGGGAAAAGCACACGCAGTGAGGATAAGATTTTAACAATAGAAGTAAAACGAGGGTGGAAAGAAGGAACTAAGATCACATTCCCCAAAGAAGGAGACCAAACACCAACCAACATTCCAGCTGATATTGTTTTTGTTCTAAAGGACAAGCCACACAACACTTTTAACAGAGATGGGTCTGATATTGTGTACCCAGCTAAGATCAGCCTCCGTGAGGTAAGTTAAAAAAAAACCTGTCATTTGAAAAATGGACTAGGTAGTAAAATGTCTGAATTACTGCATTTTGAAATAGATTAAAGTTTAATTCGGATAGTCCATATATCACTGTAAGAATAGACTTGTTGCAACTTTAAATAGCCCCTAAGAGTATATATTCTCAAGATACAGGCAGCATTATGGAACACATGCAGGAAGCATGCTTCATATTGCTGCTGTAGCTTGAACAGGAACATTGCAGTATATTGGTATATAAGTGGCATTCAGGTTTTTGGCATTTTTTCTTATGGAATCTAATTGAAGTTTAAAGTCTTTGTCAAATTATTTTCATATGTGGTTTATTTTTATATACAGGCTTTGTGTGGCTGCACTGTGAATACACCAACTTTAGATGGCAGAACCATACCAATGATATTCAAAGATGTCATTAAACCTGGCATGAAGAGAAGAATTCCTGGAGAAGGCCTTCCATTTCCCAAGAATCCAAATCAGCGAGGGGATCTTATTATTGAATTTGATGTAAGATTCCCAGACAGAATTCCACAGTCTTCCAAAAGCGTCCTAGAACAGATCTTGCCAATATAATAAGACTGGCACCGACTTGACTGCACTACCTCTATTATGGAGGATTACAGACTGGAATCAAGATTTCAGGGTCTGTTTTGGCAGTGGACTTGAGAGTAACTTTATGCTACAAAAAGTTTCATTGGAAAAAGAGAGTACTGCACTGCTAAATGACTTTAGACTCAGACTGCCTTTGCTCATAGCATTTATAACCAGGAGCATTTGCTGAAAGCAACAGGAAAACATCTCAAAAATTTGTATCTGAGGATGGCGACCAGTAATGATTTCTGCATCTATTTGACAAGCCGTAGTCCGGCCATGCCAATGCAGATTTTCATTACAAAAAAAAGAGACTAAAATCTAAACTGGACTTCAGAAGTAAACATCTTCAATCTCTTGTCTATGTTGTATTGTCTTTGTCTTTTACATTATTTCCTGAAGGGGGATAGGCTATTTTAGTAAATATTCAGATTTCCAGCTTCCGTGATATACCTATGGTACGCCTTAAATAGTACCAAATGCTGACACTCTGAAAAGTTGTTTATATAGCCATAAAAATGATTTGCCTCTTTCAGAAAGTTGAATAGAATAGGGCTTTTTCTGATACCAGGTAGCTCTTGAATGCATGCAAAAAAATTACAGGAAACCATCTGATCTGATTTACAGACTTGCCAGATATTTTTTTTCCTGTAGAGACATATTTATATGTCCTGCTGGAGGACGGTCTAAAAGAATTGAATGTATCAAGTCAAATTTACAGTTGAAAATTCTAATAAAAAGACTTTGGAGTCTTGCTTATTGATATATATGCTTAAAATATTTGTTTTGCTCCTATGATGATTAAAAATTTGGTAAATGCCTAATTAAATCTGATTGATAAGTGACAAAACAGATACTTAAAACTGCACGTGAATTGTCAATGTTTTCTGTCATGGGAAAAAGACTATCTAATTCTAAACCTTATTTTTCTTAAGGAAATTGCTAAACACCATTTACTTTGTTGAATAACTAAGGATAAGGAGAAATAATCTTTACTGTAATTAGAATATGGCTGTAGCTATCTAATGAAGAATGTAGATTTTCTGCTGCCAAGTGTTTTGAATAGATTCCACCAGACTCTTTGATCCTTCAGGATTAATTAATGTAGAAAAGCAGTAGAGATGGTTAAGAAATCTAGCCAATTCATCCAAAAATGTTTCATATCCCTATTAGATTTGTAATTTAAGACTTGACTGGTTTGGTCACTCACAGACAGCAAATGTTCTAATACTAAAAGTACACCCTCCTGGTCTATAAGGATTTAATAAAAATTCCAAAGTGTCATTTGATATCAATATCAAAGTAAAACTGCCTCTTTAAGGTAGTATACACACTTTATATAACATGAATATTTTGATATTTAATTGGTTTAATGACAGATTATTGCTTTGAGAGAAATTAATGAACAAAGGTATGTTGGTCTCCAGCTGTAGAATGTACAGCAACAATATACTTCATTACACAAGTTGTTGGTGAGTTCATCAAGTTGGTGAGGTGCCAGTGTGCATGACATCCTTCTATTTAAGTTTGTACAGTGGAACCTGGGTGGAGGAGACTTGTGAAATACATTTCTCATAACTTGGGGTGGGCCATAATATTGTTAATATAACAATAGCAAGTTTGGTCTAGTGGTTAAGGCACCATACAGGGGACTTCTGGTCCCACCTTAGCTATGAAAATTGATCTTTGGCCAGTCACTTGTTTCTCCGCCCAACTCGCCTCCCAGGGTGATGGGCGAAAAATAGGAAGAAGATACATTGGGATCTGTTCGCTGCCTTGAGTTTATTTGTGGATGTACAATATTTCAGTGATACATATTCTGTAAACAGGTCCTACCCAAAAGTCTTTTCTGCTCTGCCTGACTTCAATGAGATAATGATCTAATTTGAATTTGATTCCAGGTTACTATATAGATCATGAAGTTCCTTAGCAACAGGGAAATGTTTTGAGACTGACATCTGTTCTTTGTTTGTTTTTTGGTCTAGCATACAGCCATATGGTTTCCTGGTAGTCTTCTCAAAATATAAACCAAATCTAATTGTAAATTTTTTAAAAGCCACTATAGTACCTTGCCCAATAGCTTTTGTTTAGACTAGAAACTGAGCTACAGTAATGAAGTTTTCTAGCTATTATTTTACACCTATTGGTATTTAGGGTATAACTGTCAAAGAACTTTTAAGTTTGTGCTAAATCTGGTTCAGAATTTTTGAGGGCTAGTTTGGTGGGGAGGTATACATGCATCTTAATGATTCATAAACTGGAAAGAAGCTATATAAACAAAACATTTCTACAAGAGCATTTAAAAGCCTAAATAAATCACTTTGGGCATATCAAAAGAAATACATATTCTTATAAATGGTGTCAAGAACATTTCAGCTACATGTATAGACTTGTTTTTAGGTCAAATGCATAAGGTATGCACACACAGAAGCTGAAGTACCTGAATTAGACTTGATTTTGCTGTATGTACAATGACAGCTATGCAGAAAAAAATACTTTGCATGAGTTGTCATTACAGGAATCATTCCCAATGAAAAAGGGATAAAAGACTTAACACATAAATAAATATCTGAAATCAAAGCTGTACAAAATAACAGGTTCCAACAAGCTGTTAGGCTAACTAACTCATTTCCAGCACAGTATATGTGCAATTTATTATTCTGCATCCTGAACTATCGCAGTAGTGAAGGCTATCATTAGTTACTGGGCAAAACATCCTGCCCAATTCAAAGTCCTGGTATTAACCTTTAGAATCTTTAATTTCCTGGATATCAGATTACTGGAAGGGTCACTATTTTTATGTTTCTCTGGCTACTGGAGTCATCTGAAATCTCAGTTTATCAACTTTAAAAAAATGGCTACTAGATCTTTTCAATGGTACTTGCAGAGGTTTTTTTGTCCCTTCAGAGAGACTTACTGGCAGTTCAGGCCCAATGAAAATTTTCATTTTCCCAAGATTTTTAGCATCTAAATATTGAAAATTATTTTTCTGTGACTTGTTTTTTTTCTGTTATTCGTTTTTAGAAATAAAATTGTATGTTTATATTGTGATTCTTTTTGTACTTGGAAAGCTAAGTAAATGTGTGCTATGTTATGATGCAGTAAAGCGAACAACTCAATGCCCCTGGCTTACTCATGAAAAAAATGCAGCAATAGGTGATAGTGATCAATGTTTAACATTATTTGTAGTCCTCGATATAAGACCACAATGGAGTCCAAAATGTCTATTCCTAAGCAAGGCAGTTGTTAAGTAAGTTTTGCCCCATTTTATGACCTTTTTACCACAGTTAAGTGAATCACTGCAGTTATTAAGTGATCAAGGTTGACTCAGCCTTCCATCCTTCTGAGATTGGTAAAATGAGGACCCAGATTGTTGGGGGGCAATATGCTGATTGTAGATCGCTGTAAAGCACTATGAAGCAGTATATAAGTCTTAAGTGCTATTGCTATCATGAGGTCGTTAAGCAAATTTGGATTTCCCATTAACTTTATGTGTCGTAAATCTGCTGGGAAGGTTACAAATGGTGATCACATAATCCTAGGACAGTGCAACTGTCAAATAGATGTCAATTGCCCCAAATGCCCAAATTTTGATCATGACCATGAAGATGTTGCAAATGTCATAAGCAGAGGTGGTATTCAGCAGGTTCAAACCAGTTCTGGAGAACCAGTAGCAGAAATGTTGAGTAGTTCAGAGAACCAGCAAATACCACTTCTGACTGGAGATTTTACAGTATTCTTCTCCTGCCTTGGCTATGCCCGCAGAACTGGTAGTAAAAAAAATTGAATCCCACCACTGGATAAGTGAAAAATCATAAGGCATTCTTTTCAATAGCATTGTAACTGAACAGTCACTATATGGTTATAAATTCGGGACTACCTGTATCTGATATTGATATAAACAAGTGGGTATAAAATCATACAGTAGAAAGGCAAGGAGTATTCAAAATGTAACCTACTACAGTTCATGAAGTAGATCAATAGCAATATAGATGTCTAGATATATATTTTCCCTGTTCGTTATATTCTAATTTTTATGAGTTAGACAACTATTGTTTCTGTAGGCTTATAATTCTAGATTATACTTTAACACTGTTTCAAAATTATTTCCATTTATAGCAAACTAAAACCTTAAATGTGGAATTTCCCATGTTGCATTCAATTCATTTTAAATAAAAATGACTGATTCCTTGTATATATACAATTGAATATGAATATTTAGGCACTCAATCAAATGGTATGTTTCAACTGAAGTAAACCAAACCAGGCATAATCTTTACATGATATAAAATTGTGCATGACATATTTCTGCAAATTTTAATGCATACTTACTGATGTGCCATTGTTTACAGATTAAAAAAATAGAATATATCAGATGCAAAGATTGGGCATCCTTTCTACCGGTTTTTTAAAGCATTTCCTTTGCTTGAAATAATAGTTTCTAAACATTTCCTGTAATCATGTTAAAACTTGTTTATTTATTTTATTTGAAAACGTGAAGATCAAAGCACATTTGTGCTAGAACTGCAAATAGTCAGATCTATGAAACAAAACCCACATGACTGGAAATGACCTGTTTAAAAATGTACCTAAAGAAAAATAGTTATCCACACATCCGCAGCACATAGTTGCTTATATACTTACAATCAATGGTAAGAAAACTAAAGTGTGTGTGTGTGTATGTGTATAAAATCACGATAAACCTGAAACATTTTGGATCAAAGTCCTTTGTATTGAGGAAACAAGTTGAACTGTAAGTGGCGATCACCAAGATACTTTGGGAGAAAAAGAAATAAAATATTTGAATAAAAATTACCTTGCCAACATTTAAGAATGGAGGTGGCTCTATTATGATTTGGGTTATGTGGTAGCCAGTGGTGCAGGATGAATTATATGGGGAGAATGGGTTTAATATAGAAGCCCCACAATAATTGAAGAAAACAGTTCTTTCAGTATCCATAACATACAAACACAAAGGGAAGAGGAAATGCAGCAGCACAGCTGCAGACAAATGGCGAAGGAGGTATTGCTGCACCAAACAACAGCAGCAAAGGAGTGGGGCAGAAAGTGGGCCGGGGTGCTTTGAGCTCATATTCCATAGTGAGTTCTTCAGGAGAAAAGATGGCGGGAGCCATTTATAGGAGTGACTTGTGATCTTTCCAACTGGCTTCCCCATTGACTTTGCTTGTGGGATGCCAGCAGAGAAGGTTGCAAATGATGATTTCATGACCACAGGATGCAGCAACCACTGTAAGCACAACCTGGTGCCCAAATTGCAATCACCCAAGTGTGGTGGTATTGCAACAATTGGAAGTGTGGTTCACCAGCAGCCTGTGAAGACGGTAACAGAATCGGACAGTGGGGAAGAACGGGGACCAGTCAGGGAGTCTTGAGAGGACTCGGATGAGGGTCCTGCATCTGATGCAGAGATACGGCCAGGACCATCTGGGAGTGGGTGCTGCCTCTGGAGCCTCCAGAGCCTCCGGAGTCTGGCAGCAGTGAGGCAGAGGAACAGGGAAGCCTGTTCACAGTGGGCACAGAGCTGCTAGAAGGCGAGAACAGCTGAAACAAAAGGGGTGACTCGAGAGTAAGGATGGGAGGTAATTGCCCCTCCCATAAGGTATAAAGGACAGGCAAAGATGATAAAATCTTTGCAGGAAGCAAAGTCGTTCGTTTGGTTCAGATTCATTCCTGAAGCTCTTTGTACTTCGGTTGGTTTCTTTTCTAGTTCATTAGATACTTCTGTTAGTGGCAGCACTTAACAG